ATATATATATATATATATATACATATTACCAAAATAGAATTACAAACATATAATTTATCTAATAATTTATTCTTTTAAATTGTTATAATAAATTGTTTTATATTTAATTATACATTTTATAATTTTTTTATTAAGGGAGTGAAAACAACTACTTAATAAACAAGAGGGTGATGATTACGGGCGACAATAGGATATAATAGGTTAGGCTTTTATTAGACATGAGCATGACCTATGTTGAAAATAAATAACCTAAGCCTAACGTATTCACTTTTTATAAGCTTTTTTTTTTTAAAAGTCAAACTTGGCCTACATAAATGTTTAGTCTAACCTACAAGCTTATTTTGGCAACGCTCAATTTAATCCCTTTATTCACTATTTCAAAAATTTATTTCTACCATTACCTTTTTAATATTAAGATTTTGGGATGAGAAAATAATGATAAAAAATAATATTTTTTATTTAAGTTAATAAAATAAAATTATTGAATTATTCTCTACATAGGAAAAATTGAACAATTATCATAATAAATAAAAAATAAAAATATTTTAAAAATTATGTACATAAAAAAAATGTTATACAAATACATTTCAACGTTGAAATCTCAACTTACCAATCAATCAACAACCACCATCGTATCTTAATAGTCTTAAATACCCTCCAAATCAACCACAACTTCCAACGATTGTTCCATCCTTTTTTATTTATAAACACACACAACTTTCCCAATTTACAAAGCCTCAACTCACAAAAATTAACATCATCCTCAAAGGCGAAACCACACAACCTTAATTCAATCAAATTCGTTCATGGGAGACCAACCATCATCATCATCGTCTTCGAGAACTGCTGATTTCGATGCTCCCCTTCATTTAATCGGATTCGAGTATGAATATTTGTCACCACAAAAAGTCTCTGGCCATCTCCTTGTCACCCATAAGTGCTGCCAGGTCAACAACAATATTTCTTTAATCTTTGGCTTCAAAGTGTTGTGGAGATCAAGTTCTATGAATCATGCTTGTGTCTAGAACCAAATAATGATGGATAATTTGATTGATTGTGCATGGTGCAGCCATTTAAGGTGCTTCATGGAGGGGTGTCAGCATTAATAGCAGAGTCTTTGGCAAGCGCAGGAGCACACATGGCTTGTGGCTTTCAAAGAGTTGCTGGAATTCAGCTTAGCATCAACCATTTGAAACCTGCAGTCATGGGTGACTTGGTCCACGCAGAAGCTACCCCTTTAAGTGCCGGCAAAACCGTTCAGGTATTCATTCATGTCCTAATTCATCTTATGTTTATCCATGCAATTTACAGTTTCTTTGATACAATTGGTGTCATTTTCTTAGATACAATTGATGTTATTTTTTAATCAAAATTAAAATTTTGTCTCAATAATATGCTAGATGTATATTAATAAGATTTGCATTAAATACAAGTTTATGATTATATATATGTAACTAAAATTTAGTTATTTGCCATAAACTATGAGATAGAATGCAGAATCTGAGATGATGATGATAACAATGTGTGACTTAAGCAATTGGAACAAGACAGAAAATGTATGGATACAATGAATTTTGGATTTATATGGATGAGAGTAATCATTAACCTATTTAGTATTTTCCAAAAACACACAATCCATTTATTAATCTACTTATTTAATTCACCTACCTCTTATTCATTTATTTGTCACCCTTTCTATTTTTAATATTGATATTTTTTTTATTTTGTTCAATTATGTTACATCCCTCTTCCCCATGTCTCTCAACAAAATCTATAGCTTCTTCTCCTATACCCATTTTGTTTTTCTCTTCTTTCAAGGATAAAATATATTTTTTATTGCCTAACTTCCCTTTATTCTAGCGAACGGCAAAATGATTGATCTCACACCAACTCTTAGCTGGAGGGTTGTTGGACACATTTGTTATGTTTGCCATGCCAATTTAGCCAAAAAAAATTACTTTTTTTATTGCTCAAAAAAATATTTGAATTTAAGTTTGTTTTGGAACAAGTTTATAAGCATTTTTATTAACTTATCTATAGAAAATATACTTTTTATTTTCGGTAAGAAAATTTCTAAAAATACTTTTAACTTGTATCTAAATAGATTCTTTATTAGTAATCAATAGTTTGGCATATATAATTAATATATTAAATATTTATTTTATATAATTATAATTTATAATAAATAAATGTTTTAATATATATGTAAATTATATTATAATTAAAATTCATGATAAATAATATTTTGTAATATATGAATTATATTTTAGATTTATAATAAAAAAAAATTATTTTACAAGGTTATTTTTTATTGTTGAAAATTTTCTTAAAAAATATTTTAATTTAAAAATAAAATTTTAAAAAAATTATTAAGAAAAAAGATAAATTGAAAGATAAGAGAAACTAAAAAAAATCTATAAAATCGTCGATGTTGATTAAAATAAGCTAAAAATGCTCTCACAAAATAATAGTCCTTAAAAACATTCTTTCAAGATTGTTATTCTAATTTATACATAGAAAGATATTTGATTTTTACCTCTTTCATTAGTTAAAAAATTATCTGAATTCATTGATAGCTAGCATTTTAGCATGTGAATTGTACATAACAATTATTTGTTTTATATAAATGTTTTGTAATAAATAAATAATTTGAGCCTATAAATTGTATTTTAGATTTAATGGTAATCTTTTTGAAAATAACAACATTGAAATAAATATACAAATGATATATTTAAAAGAGATAAGAGGATAAAAAAAATATTAAAATGATAGATTATTTTTTATTTTGAACATTGTTTTTTATTTTGAAAATGATATATTCAAAGAGATAAGAGATTAAATATATATCAAAGAAAATATAAAAATGATAAAGAGAATTAATATTTGAATTTGGAAGATAAAACATATATTTTTTTTATATTTAGTTATTGATTGCTTGATAATAAATTGTTCATTTATGAATAGAAAAAATTGTTTCTTTGATATATAAAATATAAGTTACATTGTCATATTCATATTAGGAGTGTGAAGTAAACCTCTCTTCATTCATAAAATTGTTTCTTTGATATATAAAATATAAGATACATTGTCATATTCATATTAGGAGTGTGAAGTAAACTTCTCTTCATTCATGAGAGGAGAGTATTTAAATGAGAATGAATGTGAGGGGGAGTGGAGTATTTACAAAATATAAAATTATTCTAATTTATATATAGAGAGAGTGATATTTGATAAATAAGTTTTTATAGGAATTCTTTTATCAATAGAAAACATATAAAAAGCATCTCTAATGATAGAACCTGTTTTGGGTTCTTAATGTATTTTTTATGGGTCTCTTGGTGTCACTAGGATTTGAGAACTTTTTATTTTTTCTTCAATAAAAAACCTTAACTTTGGGTTCTTAATTCCCTTGATGTAAGTTGTCCAATGAACCCATTTTCCTCCTTTTTTGTTCCAAGAACACAATTTTTATGGGTTCTTGTATAAGAATTCAGTCCTACACGTGACAATCAAGTCACTTCACTCCAACGATGAAAAAAACTAAGAATCAGTACTCTTATAAAAATTTCTCATTAAAAAAGAGCTAAATCCAATTGTCAAAATCGGGTTAGTCTAATCCTATTTGATAGGTCAAAATGTGAAAACTAGTTGACCCTGCTGAGGTCGACTTCTACATGGGCCATATTGTTGGTTCTGCTGGCCTTTGGGCTCTTTAAACTTTTTATAATTTTATGTGAGAAAGGGATAGAAAAAGTATAAGCCGAAGATATATACACTTCCTATCTTTTATAAATATACCTTTAATTTCTTTTTTTAAAATAAAATTCCTAAAATATCTTTCTAACTAATTTTTTATTTTTAAATTTATTTTTTATTCATTCCCTTCTTTCATCATCATTCTTCTTTCTTCTTCTTTTTTACCCGTAAGTTAAATTTGTCATACTTCCGGAAAATAAGATTCAAAATGTTAATTTTAGCATTCCGGAAAGTACTTTTCTATAATAGTAAAATTATTGTTCCGGAAAGTATTTTTTGGAAGTGTGTTTCTTATGTAATTCCGGAAAGAACTTTCCAGAACAGTAACTTTACTATTCTGGAAAGTACTTTCCAGAATTATATAACAAAACATTTCTAGAAAATACTTTCCGGAATAAGAATTTACTATTATAGACAGTATTTTCTGGAACAAAAACTTTATTATTCCGGAAAGTACTTTTCGAAACAAAAATTTTACTATTTCAAAAAGCACTTTCTAGAACAAAACAAAAAAAGAAGATATTGCAAAAATTGAAAAGAGTAGAAGAGAAGGTAGAGGTCGGAGAAGAAAGTAACGAAGAAGAAAACAAGAAAGGAGTCGAAAAGAAAGAAAAAGGGAGGTGTCCGGAAAAGAAAGAATAAGAGAGGTGCAAATCTAAAAATTATAAGTTCTAAAAAATATTAAGGATAATTTAAGAATTTAATATATTTTAAATTAAAAAAGGAGTCTATTTATATAAAAATAGAGATGTTTATTATCATCCCAAAATATATTGGACGAATAGGTCCAAACACTTTTTAGACCTATTTTTATTGGCCTCTTAACTTGCCAAGCTAGGCCTAATTAACTTGGTCAGTTGGTCTTCTTTCAAGCATTAGAATAAGGAGTCCGGCCTGACAGGCCTTCATGCAAGGTAGGGTTTAGGATTTTAATATATATATATA